ACCTGGTTCCTCAGACTCTCAGCTCTGTTGTTTTGGGCTATTTCTTCCTTATATCTAGTCTGAATCTACCCTCTTTTAGTTTAAAATGCTTACCCCTTGTCCTATCACTACAGGCCCTATTAAAAAGTCTGTCTCCGTCTTTCTCATAAGCCACCTTTAAGTGTTGAAAGGCTGCTATAAGGTCTCCCCAGAGCCTTCTCTTCCCCGGGCTATTAATTTCTTCTATACAACTAGTCACTCCTTTACATCGTTTAAGCCTTTTCATAACAGCATAGATCTGTCAATGTGGAGTCTGCAGGACTGTACATAGAGGACAAACAGTTTCCTTAGCCCCCATTCTGGCACATGCTTTTTCCACGTTTGCGTGGATGAACACATCCATCACTTTGCAAAAGAAGTTCCTGAACTGCTCTCAGAAGCTCTTTCCCTCAGCAACAAAATGTACCCATCTGTCTCCTCTGCTGTGCGCCCCAGGGGCTGGGCACAGGCTTGTTATCCCAGAGCAGTAACTGCAGCAAACTTCCATGCCTTTAGTGCCATAGGATAAAAGCTCTGAGAGCAAAACACGGTATAATCTTTTAAGCATGTATTTTTTCCTTACAGGCAGGCATCTGCAGTGAGGGATATGGGTGGTTTTCCATCTCATTTCATGCAAGACATCAGATTTTGCTTGTGAATCATGCATTCCTCTTCCAGGGATTTATTGTGTTCTGTGCACTCCCTGGATGTGTTTTTGGAAAGCTAAATTGGTGAATGCTGTGAGTCCTGAGATTGTAAAGCAAAATTATTTCTAGTTGACCAAAAGAGTCAGTAAACTTCTTTGCTCTCAAGCCCAGCAGGAGACCCAACAACAACTTCTTTCAGCTTAAGCTGGCTCTGACTCCGGGCAAATTCATTTTATGAACAAATAGCAAGTCAGTAAAGCATAAAGTCAGAAGCATCAATAACCACTGAGGACAACAGGATTGGTGAGCCAGCATTTCCTTGTGTCTGACCTGCAGAGAGCCCTGAGATCCTCATTGGTGTGGCAGAGCCATTCATAAATTTTTCTGTTTGTACAATGTTGCAAAACAGCTAAGAAATGCTTTAAAACTGTTCAGAGAATAGCGAAAGCTGAAAATTTGTTGCTTGTAAATAATGTACATAGAATGTTTTCCCATTAGTTACAGCCCGTTCACAGATGGGGTGGAATGTTCCTCATTAAAAGCCAGAAAACATTGGAAGGTGTCTGAAAAATAATTGTCCTGTTTAAAACTCCCAGAGTGCTCTGTGGCTTGTATCTTAGCAGAATGATTTTAATGAGAAAACCCATTGTTTCTTCAAAGCAAAATATTCCTTGATCAATATTCCACAATGTCTCTGGTAGAATAAATTAAAAAAAAAAAAAAAAGGCATTTTTTTGGCTAGGAGAATTCAGGGAGCTTTCCTGCAGCACCCAAAACCAACGTGCTGTACCTGCGGCATGTTCTCAGCTCTAGCTTAGATAGTTTAGTCAAAGCCTAAGTAGCTTTGGGACAAATTGTTTCACTTTCCTGTGCTCCCGTGTCTGCATCTGAAGCTGATGGGACAATGACAGTGTGCTCTTTGGGAGCTTCTTGAGCTCTCTGACTGAAAGGTTAAAGCTGGATTTCTGCCATTCCTGTTAATACTCTTCTGTGACTGTGATAGGAAGGGAAGAACTTTCCCCGACTCAGTGCTAGGTCAAGTGTGCTTAAGGCTGTCCTCAGCTCTCACCGAGTCAGTGGCTGCAGGAGCCTGGGCTCATGCTCTGACGAAGCTTTTCACTGGTGCTGCTTTTGGTGCAAGCCTGAACGGGCAGCGACAAGCGTTCCTGAAGCTAGAGCTGAAATACCCCCAGTGCAGCAGCTCTTTGTCACCGCCGTAGAGCCCGTGAGCCCTGTCCCTGCTGTACTCGTCACCGGCAGATAACCTGGTGGCTGGTAACCAGGGACAAGTGAGAGGAACTTCAACTGGGCTTTGCTTGCCTTGGGGTCCAGCACTGGCTTTGGGAGCCAGCTCTGGAGATACAAAGGGCGTGCAGAAAAGCTGTCAGCTGTACTGCCCACATGCCCAGCACACAGGTAAATTCTGTCCCGAGTTTTAGTACCAAGGAGTCATAGGAAGAACTGTGTGGAAAAGGGCTCCCCAGTTCAGAGCCTGACTCACTGTTGATATCAAAATATAAACTGCCCAGCACACCTGGCTCTGCAGGGAACAGAGCATCCTCACCAGCACGCCCAGCATCAGAAAATCCCAGCGGGGACAGAAAGATGCATTCCACATTGCTAGGTTGGGCCTAATGCGTGATAATGGGAAATTAAGAGAAAAGAAATGACTAAGTGTAGCTCATTTACAAAGCAAAGTAGAGAAGATGAATCTTTCTTATGCAGCAGATACATATTCACATGCATATAGAGAATGTGTAGGTATACAGCTGATATCTAGAAATCTGTGTGTGTATGTGTACATTTACTCAGTACAGCTAAATGTTAGCAACACCAACACTAAACACTGTTACTGCACTAAAAACATCCCAACAGAAGCACTTCTCTAGCTGGCTGTGAGACAGAATCGGCTGAGCTCCTGCTGGGCTTGGACGGCCTAAATATAGCTCAAAAGACGCTTCTCCTGTTTGGTTGTCAAACGTCCTCTGAATAAGAGTACCCTGAAGAAAGGGGTTTCTGTGCTCTCAACATGCGGTCCGTTTCCCGGGGAAGTAAATGGGAAAGCAGCCTTGGATAATGTGAGTCATCTGGTCTGCCAAGCCGAAACCATTAGGCAGAGACAAGGCAGATGGAGATGCTAATGTGATCCAGGCTAAAGAGACATTTAAAAATGAGGCTGTGTCTCATCTTTCTTGTCTTTGGTCATTGAGTTTCGGTAAGTTCCTCTTCAGTGGGTAGGACACTAACCTTTTCCTTTCAGTCCCACAAGGCAGTGTTTGCTATCTGCCTGCTTCAGTTATCTACCTACCCCCATCAGCCAGGACTAAGCTGCACTGGCTTGGTCAGTGAAACGCCGTGTCTGGGCCACCATCCTGCCCTTAGCGAGTCGTCAGGGTGTCAACACTCAGAGCTGGGCGCCTGACGCTGCAGCCTCTGGCTTGTGGAAGAGGATGGTGCTCCTGTAACACAACAGGTAAAGATGAGTAAAATGGGTGTTCTCGGAGTTTAGCTTGTCCCAGGGACGAGGAAAGTTAAATGCTTTACTTTTTTTCTTTAAGTTGGTCCAGTCAAGTCTGATACTGATTTCTACAAGGGCACCAACAGATCCTGAATAAATAGAATCCAGCAGTGCCATGAGAATGACAGTGTGACCACAGAGACTTCAGTCCCGCTCTCGAACAAACAGGAGACACGTGCACCTTATGGGCAACCCTTCCTAGGAACCACCACCCTCACTAGGTCGGTGCACGTACCCGCCCGGGAACCCAGCCTTGATTTTCTGCATAACGAAAATCTCACTAGTTAGTGAGTGTTGCTATTTTCAGTGTGCTACACAAAGTTTAGACCTTTAGTTTTCAGACACAGTCTGCTTTGCCTGGCGCTGGTGTGTATGGGTATTGGTGTATCACTCTGGGTACAGACCTGCAGTTGACATATTGCTCAACGTGTGATCCCAAGTGGAGAGCAAACGGGCAGCCCCGAGGATTTCCCCACCCATTTGGAACATGGTCAGCTGAGCTGCTGCAACCAGGCAGGAGTTCACCACGCTGCCATCTGGCAACTGGAAGCACGGTGGCATAAGGGAGTTACATCTCTGCAGCTCTGGCCTCAGGGCCCTATTCTTTCACTCTGCTTGTATTAAGAGGTTCCTGATTCTCTTAAGGCAATTTTCCATATTTTTTCTAATTACTTATTGGTGTTTAACAAGTACTGAACTATAATGGTTTTAATTTGCCTGAAAAATTAATTCTAACTACAGTATTCATCCAAGTGAATAGGACGTAGAGGAGCATTCATCTCACCTCCAATGTCCCTATGTGCCATTGTTTTCGGGTGACTCGGAATGGATGGCAGTTACCCATCTGGCCGGACAGAGACCTTGCTCGCAGTCCCGTCATGAGTGATGCTCCTCTCCATGGCTGCCTCACTGCAGAAGGCTTCCTCCTGTACCTGGGGCAGAAGGAGGACCTGGCCTTGCAGGTGTGGATTTGTTATCTTAACGAGTCACACCAGTCTATCAGTCAAGCGAGCAGTGATGCTGAACACCCTGCAGCTTGTCATCGAGTGGGTTAGAAGAGAGGTGACCAACCTACAACCCTGCAGCCACAGGCAGCGTATGAATCAAATTCCTGCTCAAACACCAGGAGAGATGGGGAGGGACTCTTTATCAGGGAGTGCAGCAATAGCACAAGGGGTAATGGTTTTAAACGGAAGAGAAGGGATTTAGATTAGGTATCAGGAAGAAGTTCTTTACTGTGAGGGTGGTGAGACACTGGAACAGGTTGTCCAGAGAAGTTGTGGATGCCCCATCCCTGGAAGTGTTCAAGGCTCAAGGGGCTTTGAGCAACCTGGTCTAGTGGGAGGTGTCCCCCCATGACAGGAGGGTTGGAACTCAATGATCTTTAAGGTCCCTTCTATCAGGAACCATTCTACGATTCTATGGTTCATCCCATGGCTGCCTCATGCAGACAGCTCTTCTGAGGGGGGACCACTGATGTCCCCAGGGCTGACAGGAGACAAGCCAGCAGGAGCCGTTGCGGCCATCATCTCCCAGCTCCCTGGACAGAGCTCCGTGTCCCCCATCAGCTCCATGCCACCCTGCCCCGAGACCTTGGGGTGTTACAGCCGGGCCCTTCAGCTGTCCCCAGCACTCCCTGCCCTGTCTGCGGGATGTCTCCTGTGGCTCGCTGCTGTTTCGGTATTCAGGCCACAAAGGCTGGGCATAACTAAAGTAACACAGGGGGGGAATAGTGACTTTACATGTCCCACCTACTCCTTATAACAAAATCCCACTTGTATGTAACTAAGCTAAGAAGTACTACACATATTAAAGTATTCAGAATAATAGGTATTTATTTTCAGTGCTATTTTCATTAAATACTGGTATAATATATCCATGTCTGAGGTAATAAATTAAAAATAAATTCAAGATTTCAGTCCCATATTTGTGCTGCATATTTTTTCTACCATTATACATAATTTTGAAGCAAACACACATACTCCGTAATTCTGGATGCAGCTAGGAATATTATTTTAACACAGTCACTTTTTGTTTCACTATAATTTTGCTGAAAATGGTTATTGCATGATACACTTTTAATAGATGTTTTAGTTATCCTAGAGTTTTCTATTAAACCACACATACCGCAGTTATAGGAAGATGGGCATGAAGATGTGCTTTGAGCCAAGGAAGGCAAATACTGAATCAGAGTGATAGCACATACTGCAGGGTTATCGTCTGCCTGCGCTAGAGCCCAGATCCAGCAAAGCCAGTTCAGAGTGTGCTTAGCTTTAGACATATGAGTGGTTTCAGTGCCATCCATGGCCTCAAGTGTTTGCTGAATCAAGGACTAGCCAAGTCTGCAGACCTGAATTCATAGACTTGTTTAACTGTGTGTTATTTGAGAACGGTTTTGCTGGTTTCATATTTTGTAAGATATTTTGTAATGACCTTCCTAAGATTTTTCGTATCAGTGAAGCACCCATGAAAGTTTCTAACCTGGTTCATAAATACACTACGAAAAAATAAGCAGCTACAATGACTCTCTTCTACATATTTTGTTAAAAGCAACACCTGGTTTGAAAAGTTATTAAAGTAATTTTTCCCATGGTAAAATATATTTAAAAAAATAAACTCTTCATTTCATCATCTTCCATCAAACATAGAAGCTTGTTAAAGGGCAGGGCATACCTCAGGTATTTTCATTTATAAATGCAAGAGATTGAGTGTATCAATCTTTCTGCACTTAAATGCTGGTGGTAGTAAGGCCCTTTCAGCTAAGTCTCCATCAAGCCCAACATTAGTGAGCTAAAGAAACAAACAAACAAAAATGTTGCTTGCATATAACTTTTTCATAATCCTGAATTGAAAAAAAATCCTCTCTGCTTAGAAAAAAACTCTTATTTAACTGCTGCCATTAAAAAAGTACACCTCACCTCCATGTTGTTTTAATTTTAATCTGTGATTTGGAATGCAAAGGATTTAAACACTCACTAAAATTACTGTGTCAGGCCATCAGGCTCTTAATGTTCATAAATTGTGCTATTCCCCATTCAAATAAGGAAGCTATAGTTTAGAGCTAGAGCTAATGGTTGTCTTGGTGTTAAAAGTCTACTTCCACCAGATTTTTCTTTATTCTATTTTGCAAATGACTGACAGTGCTCATGATGTGATCCTGAAAAACCATTTGGTGTTATTACCAAAAGCTATATAGTCTGTGTGAAAACTCTCCATGCTCATGCAGTGATTTGCATCGTTGAGGGGACCACGGTCCGCACTGCAGCGGTCTTGGGCCTGGCCACCAAGGTGCAGCTGTGCAGCCCGGGGTCTTCAGTACTCCACCGAGCTCACTATTGCCATTGGCTCATCAAATGTCGCCAACCTTATCTGCTTTGGGGTAGGGATGGAGAGAATTTCCCCGGTGTCAGTTGGTGAGTGAATACCATTGTCTATCATGTTTGAAACTTCCTCCTCGTGATCCTCGTACAGCGTGTTGATGTGCAGCAAAGGGTGGGCTGGGTTGCAGTTCAGTGCAGGTGTCGGCTCGGGCTTGACTTGGTTCAAAGTCATACTGGTGGCAGCAGAGGTTGTGGCTATATGGTTGTGGTTACACGTCACAAAAGTCCCAGCAGCAGGCACAGTTCTGCATGTCTCAGATGAGTATAGGATCTCTTTTGCAGGATGAGGGGTGTCTACAAGAAAACAAAACAGCCAGTTAAAAGACAGGCAGTCTGTCACCCTCCCGGTCCATCAGAGAGGAGTGTCCTGAACCAACAGAAGTCATTGGCAGTTTTGCCACTGATTTCAGTGGGAGTAGGAGTGGACCCAAAAGTGATTTTTCTTGGGATCCTTTGAGAATCCAACAGGACTGTTTCAAAACAACAGGATTGTAAGCTGAGGGAAAGAGGGCAAACAAAAAATGGGTTTTGTGAATCTCACTCTTTTTTATGCATGCTCATGCTTCCTTATGTGAATGGTATTTTTGTAAAATGAACAAAAAACAACTGAAAAGTATCTTTTATTCTCTTCTACAGTCTGGCAGGTGTTTTATACATGTTATGATTTAATGTTTTGACAAATGTTACGAATGTTGAAACCCACAGGATGGAATACAAATGCACTGATATTTTCAATGGGAAAAAATAGTGGTTACACATTGTAAGCCACTTGTCTTCAGAAAGAACTCAGCAATTTGTCATTAACTGATGTCTCTTTCCAGAAATTTTAAGTCTACCTTACCTGATGGACTGTAATGTGGGTCTAACTCAAAAGCAAAGCTGACAATTTTTAATGGGAATGGGGAGTAACAGAGCCCCAAAACTACAGTAATTATTTTTTGCCCTTAAAATATTCAAGCACTAATTTAGATTAAAGTAATTGAGACCAGAAAACCCCAGTAGTTTTGAGGAATTGAAATAAGCAGGTGACTGGATAAGGGATGCTGTAAGAATAGCTCACATGCACATTGGGGAGCTGGAGGGCTCTAAGGAGCAAAAGGATTTGGAAGTGACAGAAACTTTTATACCTCAAATCACTTCTTTGCTGGGCAGTGGGGTGACGGTAGCTGTCAGTCTGTCGAAGCCCAGGGGGAGGTCTTAGCTTGTAATGAGATGAGAGCCATTGCTTTAAGTACGTACAAATCTTTCTGTAACTTCAACTGCACAGTGCTTCTTTCTTATGTCAGTAGCTTACAAAAATAAACAAGACTGTCTGTCTGTCTATCTATCTATCTACTGATCTATTGCTTTTCTTAGTGCTCACGTGGCCTTCCCCATCATTCTAGCACCTAAAATTATTGATATATTTGAAACACTCCTTTGAGGTTAGAAAGGGACAGTATTTCCAAGACAAACACAGGGAACTGAGGCACAGAAAGAGCATCTCCTGCGAGGCCACACAGGAAGGGAATAGCAGAATTCCTGAACCTCTGACCAGCACCTGCACTCCAGACCATCCACGTGAGCAATTTACAATGTTTTTTGTGTGAACAATGATATAAACGATCTGAGTTGTGACCCTAAAGAATTGGTACTTTAAGAGATTTTTTTCCACAGGCACCTTAATGTGCCATTAGCACGGTTTCTCACATACTCCTAAGTGTCTATTACTGGCCAGAGTACTGGTCTTCTACCATGACAGTTTCCATATGACTTGAAAGTAAGACACGTTTGAAATGTGCCAGGTGCTGGTGGAGCAGAAAGGGGTATCATGGAGGCCAAACCCTCCTCATTTCCTTGGCAAGGCATGACCATATTCATAATTGTGAAAATCTGCTTACATTTGAAAAATTACCTGCACCAACAGCCTGCAGGCTGCCTTGTACAGCTCTATCTGTAATAATCCTTAACCTCCGCATAACTGCTAAAGAGAGAGAACCCCTATTTCTGAGGCCTGCAAGCCCTAAGATCATTAGCTACCCCAAAATCTAGCAAGGTAGGTCAAACAGTTCAGATAAGCTTTGAGTTCCTGAAGATTGCTACGCAAATTATGGTCTGTGGCGGTGGTACTGGCATTATGGCATACTGTACCTTTGAGAGAGGAGGTAACGTGTACTACGACATTCTCTTCCTGGTTTAAAAATCCACCCTCTTGGCTTTTAGACGTAGGCATCGAGGGCATGGCTTGAACCTCTGGCTTGGGTTTTTTGCTACTAAGTATATATGGATGAACATCCAAGGAAAAGTGTCGCGTGTGTTTTTTTTCACTGCTTGTGCTTGGGGTGGTGTTTTGCTCGGTTTTATGAGCAGATAGTTGCTGTGAGGTTTTTGCAGCGGACTCTAACAAAGGAGCTATAAGGCTGTCCGTTGCTGTTTTTCTCCGCACAGGCTTCGGTTTGTCAGGTTTATGGTTTTCAACCTTCATAATGGCTAACTGTTCCTTGAATGGCTGAGGAAGGGGATTGGTAGTTGGGATCCATTTCATCTTCTTCCTTGGTCTCTTAATGATGAGCTGCTCGTTAGCATCAATGTCTGCTGGGTCAACACTTGGGTCTATCGTTTGGATCCCTGAATCGCGCATGGTTGGAGTGGCATCATGGTTGGACTGGGCCAAGGCTGCAAGCAGCTGGCGTACCACATTGTCATACATCAGATCGCTTTCATTTGTAATAAAATCCAGACGGTTCAATGATTTTATGTGGTCCCGATTTTCATTACAAAACATGGCCAAAATATTGATGTCACAAAACTGGGACTTCTGCCACTGTTTCTTGGTCTTTATTCCAACTTTGTTCAGCTTATCAAATATGAAGTTAGACTTGCGAAATATGAAGAGGTGAATTAAGTTGATGAGGATTATCAAGTTCATAAAGCAGAGAAGAACGATGTCTACACCAGCAATAATCCGCTGGAGCTGGACAGATGGCAGCTTACAGTTCACTCTGATGTGCAATTTGGAGCTGCTTGTTTTGTCTGGAGGCTCTCCTAATGCACATGTAAATTCATTTTGCTTCTGCGTAGCGTAGTAGGTGGATAAGTATGTAATTGGTATGATGCTTAAGAAGATGATGAACAAATGTCTCGCTAGATAAAGCTTAGCTAAAAAGTTACTTCGTCCTCTTCTTTCCAGGTATTTCTCAAACAAGTTCTGTTCGGGGCTTTTTTCCTTCTCTGCGTTCTCAATGATTTCTCTCTTCTCTCTCTCGGTGATCCCTGGGCCTTTGGACTGAATCTGTTTCTCTATTTTTGGTGCCCGCCCTTCAGCTGCACGGTGGTAGCAGTTATCAATCTCCTGAAGCAAAAAATTAAGCTCTGAAGTCAGTCGGGTGGAGGCCAGAAATTCCCAGCCCAGAGCTGGAATGTACATTATCCCAGCAAAAGCCAGCAGTGCATAAGGTAGGAACTTATGCTCAAACAAGGAGGGCCAGTGGCTGGCATCAACTCCTGGCAAGGCATCTTTTAATTCTGTCCAACAATATCCTCTGGCATACAAGGCTTGATCGCGGGTGAAGTTGTGTGGTGTGTAACAGTATATTGGCTCCTCTGTATAACAGAGAGAAAAGTCACTGCTGTGCATTTAACCTACAAAAGGAGCTCTGGAAAATAAACATTTCAAATTATATCAATTTTATTTTACTGTGTCTTTACATGACCGTTAAACCCTCCACGTCTATTAGACAGCTCAGCCTGCACACGTCTTCATAAGCCCCCAGGCAAAACTATTTACCTGGAAGTTTTAGAATGAACCTGAGCAAGAAAGGTCAGCAAGAAATACGTATTTGGGCTTAATTACCTCTCTGAAAACAATACCCTAAACAACTGTAACCTAAGCTCCATAAAGCTAAAACACCTGATATCCACTAGACAGTAGCTGAGGATGTCATGTGCAAATGCTGAAAGGCTCATTTAGGTGAAATTTAATGTTCATCCCAGCTAAGTATTCTTCTAAATAAGATACAGCTGAAGGTAATGTTTTTACTCCTTATTAACAAAGTCTACTTATTGGATATAGTAGCAAAAATTGAATCTTAAAGACATTCAAGTATTTAGTCAACTGTATGCCTCTCAGCTAAGACTCTTGAGTTAAAGTGTGACTGACCAGACCAGAATCTGGTGTATTAACTGTATTTATCACTATGAAAATTTAATTCTACATTTGAAACTGTAACATTGTTTTTTACACAATGTGCAAATAAATGGTGCAACTCGCTGTCACACAGTATTATGGAAGAAACAGATACTGTGGATCAAGAAAGCAATCAAATTAATGAAAGAAAAAGTATAGCAAGGATTCTAAATACAAAGATGGCGATGCAATTCTTCTCTCAGGACATGTTTAAACCATGGGCTGCTGCGGGGTGGAAGGGTTTATCAAAGGAACTAACATCATACACTTGTGTATTGTAACACTCCTTCCTAAGCACTTGCTTTTTGCCATTGTCAGAGACAGAATGTTGGGCCAAAAGGACTTTTGCCTTGACGCAGTAGATAACTTGTGGTCTTTATAAAATTGCCTTTTTCTATCAATACATCAAAGTAAGATAGCAAAACTTGTGAAAGCTAAAACAGTATTAATTGCCCAAAGAACAACAGCCATTATCAAAACACCCTCTTCAAAGAGGAAGACCATATTTTCATGTTTTGGCAGGCAGAACAAAGGGAATATATTTTACAGGGTTCTGGTATACCTTATAAAATCTTCCTAAAATGAGACCCATGGGAAGAGGGCATGTTCTCTTGAACTAAGAATCACTCAAGAACACCAAGCTTGCTCCAGTTCTGAATGCAGTCTACAATTTGGATTGAGAACAGCTCAGTGGAAAAGAGTGATGATACTGTTCTCTTAATAATACAAATCATGAAGAGAAATAAGAAAATAATATGACATTTGATAACAATAAATAAAATATTAAAAATTATTAGGCAGGCAAGAAACCCTAATCCTTTTGCCTTAACAGAGGACTCCTTACTTGGCCAACTACTTTTCACATGTTGAGCAAATCAAAAGCATTTACTAGTTCTTTGGTAAAATGCAGAGGTGTAAACCTCTTCTGTGACCTACAGAGACCTACATGCTGAGGAATGCACAAAAAACGCTTTTTTAAAAAGAAGTGATTCCGTGAGGATTCTTTTCTAAATATACAACCACTTTAACCAGAGTTGATAGAATAAATGATGCTACCCAAGGCAGCATGTAAAGTGAATAAACCCTGCAAATTCTTTAAAATCCTTTTTGAAGACTATTTTAAAATGATCCAACTCCAGCCTCAGAGAGCTGAAAGCACTCTAATGTTACACAGCTTCCTATTTAGACTACTTTTCTCTATTTGCAGCCATGTGTGACAAGAAAAACGCTGACTGACTCTTGGTTTCGGGAATTACATGCTCTCCCAACCCTACCCATGAAGGGATGCATACAAAAAAATTCAACTCCTACTACCAAAGAGTTAGCGTACAATTTCCCAGGAGACAAAGTAGATTCCTATGTGAAAACATTCCCATGGGGGAAAAAAGTCAATGAAGCATGGTGCATTTCTCATAAGCAGAAATATTTTGAATTGGGTGTCCCTAAGCTCAGTAGAACACACCAATATGAAACTCAGTTTACTGTGACATACATGGGTTCATTTCTTCTAGGTCTCAACACCACAAATATTTGGGAAGGCAGCAACAATTATTCATACAAATTATCCATAAGGATTATTTTTGTATTCATGTATCAGTTGCTACTACCAAATAAACTGTGAACAGTTCAGTTCTCTTCGTCAAGACCTGAAAGCTAAGGTGACTTCTGCCAAAAATTGTATATATACAACAACAATCAAATATATGTATCTATTTTATAAATAAAAAGGAAACATAGAAATGTCTTAGCATTTACATTCATGTTGGACAGATCACTTAGAGACTAACTGCACTCTATCCATTGTCACTGCTTCAGTGAAAACAGTCTGAAGAGCTTCACAACTCTGGTTTGGACTGAACACCTTCATTAGAGAGTACTTCAAAAATGGGGCTGCCCAGCCCAGTACAGAAAGTAAATGTCATTTTACAGGAATTTGTTTGCTTTTCCTTTTTTAAACATCTTTTAGCTGCTCCCATTGCCTGGTAAGTTGTGAGAGATCTCTAATTTATTGGGACAGCTGAGTATGATGTCCCATTCTTATTCGATGTCTTGCTATTTGTTGATGCCGGTCTAGTGTTTTCTTTGCGTATTTGTTAATTTGACATGCTTTTCATTACAAGCCATGCAAATCCCAAGACCCTTCAGATGAAACCCTATTCTCAATGAAGTCAGTGGGATTTCTTATAACTGACTGAAGCGAGGGCGGTGGGGTTACAATGCAATTTTATTCGAACAGTATTTTCTAATTTGTTTGAGCCATGCTCACTGTCAGCGAATGCCACCAATTTTTGGTAGTTATTCCATGGGGGAATTTAGCTTAACCTTCTCAGCACAGGACTTGACTCACAAAGCACAGCATCAGCCTTAGGAAGCTCATTCATCTAGAAAACTGTGCAGACAATGCAGAAGAGAGGAATACTCTTCCAGACAATGATTCAAAGCAAAAGACTGATTTAGCTGTTGCCTGGAGGAGCCTGTCTCTCTTCACTGACAGGAGGCTGCCAAGCAAGATCACCAGGAGGTTTGAGTTAGCTTTTGTGAATGTTACTTCTTGGGCAATGGCAGCATTTAACCTGGCATTTAACACCATGAAGGTGTTTTATCCCATCATGGTAGGGTATGGACATGTTTCTCCTCTACTGCAATCTCTGTCAATCGGGAATAAATGAAAAAGAAAAACACCATGTCAATAACTAATCATGTTTGTTATGAAAGATGGCAGTAACATACAGCTGGATCTCACCATGCAGATCTGAAGAGGATGGGGAAGTTGCTCTCACACAGCTCACTCTAGCTGTGAGGACCCTACTTAATGTGGTTTCAAGAAGGCACAGCAGATGTATTCTTTGATTTTACAATATACTCCTGATAAGTTAGTAGCATTAAAAAGGCTGTAACAGTGTTAAAATCATAGCTCTGACACTGGACCATGCAATATCAAAAAATGTACTCGCATTTGACGTTATATTCATAAATATAGAAAGTTTCTACTGATATTCTTATTTCACCCTGAAAATCCTTGAGCAGTTTAGGAAGCTTCTTTTCATATAACCACTCCAGTCACCATGAAATGCAGCTTTTTCCCCAAGACTTTGCGGTTTAATTGCATTTGCTGCAACGGTTCAATTGTGTAGGAAAAGACAAGAGTAAGAAGCTGTAAAGAAATTTTTTTAAAAATTATTATGGTTGAGCTGATTGGTAGTCTTCTCAAGGTTGTCTAGGCTTAAGCCCACAAATACAATCTATACCTCCACTCTCCTTAATAGCTACATTCTTGTGAGCCCAAGAGACAGAAACTCCTACCAAAAAAACCCCAAGAGCAAGGTCATCAGCTCCAAAATAATCTTTTTCCAGTTCCAAACAACAATCAAAAGGTGGCTGAGAGTGGACATTATCTGTGATTTGCACCCGTGTGCATCTGTAGCAAAGGCAAAAAAAAAAAGTAAGATAACTAAGCTGCCATTGTTTTTGGTGGCTGGAATACCAAACTCAACTTTTCTGCATTAAATGTGATGGCGTACTTCAAGATTTTTAGTTCTGATGCTCAAAGAAAACCCCAGAAAGCTTGAAGTCTGAAGGTCTGCCCTTAGGTTCACCTACACAAATGTGCTAACTACATGCCAGAATATGACGTTCAACACAGTTCCAGAACTGGAACAAGGAATACCTAGGAACAAATCCTGTCTTCAGTGAGAACACGTCCCTTTTAAATAATTTTTAAGAAACTAAATAACCCCGTGCTAATGCTGTGCAGAAATAATTAGTACATAGGAAAAAAAGTCCTTGATGTTAATGTATTATAAAGTATATTATACTTATCTTATACTGATTTGAGTATAAAGATGCATACTAAGAAGCTCAGCTTCCCTTTTTTCAATACCGTCAGATGGTCACAGGAGCACTACATCAGGTGTTTTCAACAGTTGTACTTAAATACATTTTATCCTGCTCACTCTGCATGCAAGTAGCTTCTAGAAGTCCCCAAGACTCTTCTCATGGATAAGGTTTGAGAGACATCTCACTGAATTTTTTGGACATGCAAACAAGATGAAATAATCAACACAGAATTACTTAGTTGATTGTGTTATGCCACTAGAAAAATTAAAATCCCTTGGTAGCAACGTTTTTTCACATGCTCCATTCTGTAGCATCTCATCCCATCAGTTTAAGTACTACTTACATGGAGAAAAATGACTTGCAGGAAGTACTGTGGTACAAAAGGCATACTTTAGGGGAATGAAAGAGAGTGCATGGTTGCGAGAAGAGAGACAAGGTAGGGAGAGGGATGAAGGAAGGGGCTGCACTCAAAAAACTCTTTAGAAAGAATCTACATGGACAGTATGGAAAGGAGCGAAGGCAAAGCATGGAACCTAAGAGCTGCCCAGTCTGCTGCTTGTTAGTAAAGGCTCTGAGAAAT